ATGGTGGAGATGGAAATAAGGCAGTGGGGGTTGCATGAGGACAGGGTTGCAGTGTGCAAAATCCCCATTGAGAACATACACATACACACAAACACACATCAGGAGCACACAAACACACACGCAGACATGCAGACAGAACGAAACTATAACCACCATCATTAAAAATGTTACCACAGAGTTTCTTATGCATGATCAGTTGATATGCAAATAAAGAGATTGACTGATTTATTGAACGTTTTTAGTTTTTTTTTTTTTTTTTAATAATCTTATTAAGAAGTTAATTTCTGTAGACAATTTCACTGGAATATGGTTGCTAGGAATCTGCTTGTGTAGAGCTTGGGTACTTCCTGTCAGATATGGAGTACCAAAGTGTTTTCCCCCACCCACTGTAAAAATAGCATTTGAAAGTTTAAGACAAATATGGAGACACAGCTGTTGCATCATTTAATGACTTACGGTCATCAGTTATCTTAAATGTTTCATCTTTGTACCTGACAATTAACTTTTCCCCTGGTACACTGAGTGCCACTAAATATTACAATACCCTTGAGCCTCATCAGCTTTTGTTATGGAGAAGACACCAGTCGGAGAAGTCACATCAGAGCTCGTATGCATATTCCGAGCATTTTGTTACTGCAATCAGGAACTAAATCCTGCTCTGTGCTTGCTCAATAAATAGGATTAAAAATCTCAGGAAAAGAACTGAAGCACAGTCAGTAGACCTTTTTTCCCCTGCAACACGCTCTGCATAAGAGAGTGGGCTTATCTACAAAGATAATATGCAAAGTCTTATGACTTTCATGGATTTTTTTATTCCAGGAACAAACCTTTTAATGATTAGATGATTCAACAGGAAAGTTTTATGCTCATCTGTGTGTAGAAACATTCCAATGGTCAATCGCCTAAAAATAATGAAAGGGATTGTTGTTGCAGGATCCCTGGAGAATGTGAACACATCTCACTAATCTATAATACACTGTAACAGAACATGAACATTTCGATTGTCTGTTTGAAACTGAGAAATAGTCTCTGTAATGCACGCAGTGCTCCCTCCATGGTTAAACTTAAAATCCAGAATCATGCCATACTGACATTTACATGACAACTGTCTAACTGCTGAGGTCATAAGTGTTTTGACGCAAAGCTTCATGGGCCACAGAACAGATGAGAAAATGCACTGCCAGAAATAACGAGAGAACAAGCTCACCAGTAATTAGCTACTGTGAGACGCCTCAACACACTTCTTTTCTGGACGTGAACCACAGCGATGAGACAGAGCATCGCTAACAGACAGGCGTTTCCCACTGTAGAGGAAGCTCAGTCTATAAGTGGTTCTTGTAAACCCCCCTTTCTTTGTCTGCCATCGGTCCTGACACCTAAAATTAAAAAATTGTCTTCACTCCTAGTTTTATTTATTTATAAAAATTTTAGCTGACAAGTTGACTAATGAGAATGGTCGAGGAGGAAGAGAGGATTACACACAGAGTCTTGGAGGGTGAGCAGCAGCGCCAGGTTCAATGACACTTTTCAATACTATGGACATGTTTTGCTTTTTTTTTTTTATTGCAGAAAACAGAAAGTTCAAAACAAAGACTGTCTGTGTCAAATACAACAATCTGACAAAAACAACAAACATCATGCCTAAAATGAGTTATCCACAAAAGTCAGAGGATACATCAAGCAAGCCCTTTCTTACTGGAATCTTTCATACTATTACTTGCATTACTCCAGTGATGCAGGATAATGATACGCTGCCTATATACCATTAAGTCACAGGTAATGCACTGCAAGCTAAGTGCATATTAAATCTGACTCCTGCTAAAGCGCCGCTCCTCTTGCTGTACTGCTGCCGCAGTTTCCATTCTCGCGCTCTTCGTTCAGCATTACCAATACATCACTCAAAAGCAAAAGAGGATTAAACATCTGTCAAAGTCTGCCCATTTCACCCAGCAGGAAAAGACACTTTTGAGCGTTGCACGTCTCCCCGGTGATTTAACCACCCCGTCTCACTCTGAATCTGGACAGAGCTCATACGACTCTGAAATAATTCACCCCGTCCAAAATAAATACGCAGCACATAAAGACGCACTGAATGTAGTTTGCTTACATTTTCAGCCGAGCACGCAGGTGACACACACGTATACCAAGACGTGTTATTTGTAGCCTCCTGCTGAAACAACAGAAATAAAGATTCTGTTCTTGCGAATGTGTCACCCACTGTAACCCCTCATATCAGTTCCTCTATATCTCCTTTCCTCAATCTATCCACCATGTCACGTGCTTGTCATCTGCTACAGACCTCCATTTGAGTCCCTGTGGAGCCTCATCCTCCCCATCAACTACCCGCTCCCCGCTTTATTTCTTCCATTTTTCTTCCTAATCAACCATTCCATCAAAAAGCATTTATATCCCCTTCCTCCACCCTTCCCTTATCGTCCATCGGCCCCCGTCCCTTTAGATCACCCTGCCTTTCCCTCATCAGTCTTGCCTCTTTCATTCATCACGCTACTGCCTTCTCTTTTCTCTCTCTCTCCTCATTCTCCCCAAATCAGCTGCTCTCACCAGTGCATCTCTCTTTCCTCACTTCCTCCCTCCATAGATCCTGGCTGTGGCATCCTTCACCCCTGGTCTGTATTCAGAATGATTACACGCTTGGTTAACTCATTCATGGACTTCCACTCCGTCAGTGACGCACGCTGGACGCACGCCTGCTCGCTTCCAATATATATATTCAGCTCACATTCACACAACTCATTTACGCATACATAAACAGTAGATGGCGTGCAGCTTTAACACACAGGTAAACACAAACACTCAACATGCACAAATGCCATCAGTCTTGGTCAGTGGGGGAAAAGGCATTACAGCTAAACAAAGAACCGACACTTATACCACCTTGAAAATCCCCTACTGTACTTGTCATGCATACAATTTTAGTTCATATCTGCATATGTGACTAATTTTTCTGGGAGTATATTCAGAACATGACACAATGACATTCAAAGGGTGTCAACAACTTTCCTGAGATGGAGAATGAGTATTAATACCAAATACATTTAATAAAATTCCTGATAATCCTGACAAACACAGGCAGGCCCTGTCTTGAGACCGAGATGTAAGTGGGTGTCGCTTCTGACTTCCTAATAGATCACTATCAAACCAGTTTAGGTCTGACAGCACCAACTGTTGGGGCAGAAAATGATCATTATTTCATGTGAGTGACTGGGGGGGACAAAGGAAGGGTGAGGTTAAGACGTACTAATCACATCTACAACCGAGAGTCAACGCAACAACCAGTTACGAAAACCAGGAAAACAAGAAAACATTAACAAAAACATAAAAAGTAAAAAGAAAGCGCTCAGAGAGGGAACACCTCTGTCAAAACTGCACATTGTGTCCAAGACAAAAATTTGTGACGACAAATGTGAGCGTGATCAAGATAAACAGGTGCATGTTGAACCAAGCACACCTCGCAGTTCAGGGGTTTTGAGTGGGAATACGTCAGTTAAATTAATTCTCAGATACCTAACTAACAAACAGACAGATAAAACAAAAAAAGCCTTCCTTGGCAGAGGTAAGAGTGGTGTAATGGTGGGGGTATACAGGACTGCACCGTTATCTCTCAGCTAAAATGTCACGATGTGATGAAACTCCCCTGACAACATGCCTCCACCCATCCTCAGCCCTGATCTGCTCGCAACGTGCTGCAGCCAGCCAGCCAACCAACCTGATAACCAGTCAGCAAAAAGAATAGGCTCACAGGGACACACCTTACTGTGCAAGTCCAAACATTTATCGATATGCCAAAGACGTGATGTTCTCCTCTTTGGAAAGATGCCACTGGGTTTCACAATTAAGAATCAAAGGGTTGAAATGAAAGCTTACCCAGGTGCATGAAGACGTGTTAATATGGGTAAGACATTGCAAACAGGCCTTGGACTGAGTTCTTCCTTTACTTATGTTCTGACCATCTAGTGCCTTCAAGTTTGCATAGCAAATAACACATGGCAATGCAAGATAAGACATGTGAGTTCTATAACAGCAGACTGGGCTGGTAAGCTTTGGGAAGTTACTCTTACACTGGTGTCACAGGAGACAGATCTAATTCAGGAGCACTGGCCACCAGCTCTCATCCAAACCCATGACTCAAACCATAAAGAAATTGACAAGTCAGCATCATCAACTTCTGTCAGGCGTCACTTGCTACATCAAGGCAAAAACTGCACAGCGCGTGTAGCACCTTAAAACACTTTACTGTGCAGATATATATTGTATTTCAGCTAAATTACTCACTGCCGTCAACCAACATCCGCGTAATATTTACTCATCCTCCTCCAAGGCACCTTATGTCACAAGCATGAGAGCTATATTCTCCGTCAGTGAGCTCGCTGACATCGGAACCTCTCTTGTGTCCCAAATACCCTGCCAGAAATCACATTAGGTAGCAAGACTGCAAACAGTGGTTCCCCCGTAAAAGCGCACCTTGCAAAGGAAATCAACTAAACCGGGCACAGACGCGTTAGCAGGACTGATGGCTGCTAACGTTAGCCCATTTTCTGTGTTATTCATTCCTATAAATAAGCTCCCGTGTACAGCAAACTGGCCTCTACAGGGATATTCTCACGACCTAATCTGGGCGCTGCCACCGTCGGCTAGATAGCTGCAGGCCATAGACATGCCCCAAAAATACCGCCTGGCCCCGGGTAACATCAGGTCGGTTTACCGTTGCAGGATGAGACCGTTGCCAGCCAGCCTTGCTACCAAGCTAGCATCGCAGAGCTAAGCTAGGCTAGGCAACATGCTACCCGCTTGTGTGTTAGATTAACGTGTTTACGTGGAAATGTAACAGCATTCACCAGGACAGTGCACCTGTCTAATGCGGGCTCTTGTGGTGTCAGCTGCTGTGCGGTGGGTTTGCAGCCAGCATCAGAAAGACTGCGCAGTTGACCTGACAGAGGAGAGTGAACTGGCTAGTAGGCAAGTTAGCTGTCTGTACTCACCCCATCAACCAATCCATGGCGCTGTTTGTAGCTAGCTTAGCTAACGATAGCTGGCAGGGGATAAATCCACCAGGAGCTGGAGGCGACCCCCCTAGTTTATCCTGCCACCACCCTCGCTGCCCTGGCTGCCTGGCCCCCCGAGTCCAGTCGCTCTCCCCGGGGCCCGCGTCTCTCCCAGCTGCTGGATACTGTCCGGGTCAAACACAAACGCGGCTTAAACTTTGAGCGATTTGTCCTTGTTTTGATCCTCGGCTAGCTCGGATCATGAAGTGGCAGTAACACAGTCGGATCAGTCCGTTAGCTGGCAGCGGGAGTGCAGCATTGAGTTGACTTTGAGCACGAAGGCGAGCTGAGGAGAGCGGGGCAGCGGTGTGGCTCTGCCTGGTGTCCGGTGTGCAGTGGCGCCGACTGAGGCTCGTCTGTTGGGGTGCCGCTGGTCAACCCCGGTAACCTCTGTCATGAAGCCTTGTATGGCTACCGTGCTAGCTGACAGCCTGAACCTCCACTGGAGCTGCTGCTGTCTGAGCGAAGTCTAAATCGGAGTCCGGAAGTAAACACAGACCCGACCCACTCTGTCTCCTGTGCGTAAAATGCGTGTCACGCAGGGCTGTGTGAATATTGATGCAATGATGTATGTGTGAGGAAGCTGAAAAAAAGGTAATATCAGCTGTTCACTGTCCACGCAATTGTAGTCATTCCCTATTGAAGACTTTAATAGGAAGGTGACTACTTCTGCTGTTGACATACTTTTAAATTTAATTGTTACTACACATACAACACGTGTGCTCTTATTCTAGGGCAGTGGGCATAGAAATGAAGATTTTAGTGCTGAACTTCTCTTTAACCTAGACCAGACAATGCAGGCACCTGCCCTGCAGCCACAGACCCCCATGGTCTCCAAATGTCAGTGGGCTCTGGTAATTTATTTAACTGCACATTCGAATTGGTACCACAAAGGTGCAGAATCAACAAAGTCAGGTCCTAGTTCGGCCCCTGTCTTGTAGAGGGACCATCTGTCCAAATCTAGTTATTAAAAGATTTATTATTTACAGTTTGTATTTTGGTCACGTGATTCTTAAATAAAACTGTAATCATCCATCCATCGTCAACCGCTTATCCTGCATACAGGGTCGCGGGGGGCTGGAGCCAATCCCAGTTTACATCGGGCGAAAGGCGGGGTACACCCTGGACAGGTCGCCAGTAACGTTGTAATCAGTCCACTCATTACCACAAACTAAATGAACCACTGAAAGCTTGGGGTCAGGTAGTATCTACTGTATATACAGCCTAAAAGTACCGGGAGGTCTCAGGGCTGTGGGCATAACATGAAGCCGCCATGTACAGTCTGCTGTATGCCAGCGTAGCCTACTTGATGATGATGGATCCGAGACCACACAGTGAACATCCACCATGCACCGAGGGTGGTGGGTTTGAATCAATAGGGGCACCAGGGCCCACCAGTTAATCTGTCCCTCTCATCGCCTTTAGTGAGCCTCCTGTGCTTTTCATCATTATAGTGAGAATAGTAAGAACCCTCCAAACAAAAGCCAGAGAAATGTCACTTGAGGCCATAAATCTCAACAGGAAAGCATTCAAGGCACAGTAATGACCAATGTATCACTGGCAACATGTGGGTAATCCAAAGAACTGAAATTTATTCTGCCTCACTGGTCCAGCTGTTTTCACCCTACTGTATCAGAGCCACCCTGTATACAGAGAAAGTGCAAATTCATTCCAACTACTTTATAACAGCTCAATCTTCATTTATCAAGAAAAATGTGATGTACAGAAATATATTTAATCACATAATTCATCATGTACCCCAGTCTTAACCTCAACCCTTGACCATTATGTATGTACTATAGTCTACATGTACAGCTTTAAGTAGCTCTTTCCTTTCTCTCATCCCCTCATCTCTTTTCACCTCTTTCCCTTTTTAAGAAAACCGTCAATCAGACAGATGCAGTTTGCAAAGGTGGGATCAATATGTACAGTGCCCTGTAAAAGTGGCTGGTCTCTCGTCTTCCTGTCTGCCTCTCTTTGAGACCATTAGAGAGGTATGGTGGTCATCAAGTCCCTGCACTCCTCTCCTCTCCTTGCCTCGCCTCTCCTCTCCTCTTTCTTCTGCCTCCTCCTCTCCTGCCTAGTTCCTCCTCCATCCCTTGCTTCATACTCCTCTTTGCATCCTCAGGTTTCTATAAATAACAGTGGCACACAGGTGACTGAGAGGGCATCCAGAAAAGGAGCCCTGTTAACAAGAGGCAGAGTAACATGATTGGTTTGTTGACACCCCGGCTCCAATCAGCTCACTGAGAGGCGGAGTTACAGTGATGATTGACAGGAGGCTGATGGCGCGTTCAAACCTGGTGTAATGCTGTTTACAGCCACACGGGGGCGGTGTGGGCTGTTTGTTGACACAGGCCTGTGCAGGCGCCACACAGCATCTGGAGCAATCAGCTGGTCCAGGATCTGTGGCAGAAGACATCAACCTTCTTTGTCTGGCTTGTGTAAATTTTAATTATATCACTAAAGACAGTTTAGAAAATTGGATTCTTATTATTTCATTGTGACAGTGACTATAAAAAAACATTTAAAAAAACAGGTCTGTTTGTCCAAAGTATAAACAATGTCTTTTTTTGTTTACTAATTTCTTGTTTAGTTTTTTTTTTTACTTTTGAGGTGCATGTCCTCAGTGTTTATAACTTCACATCTTTCATCGGCTGTGTGTTGTCAGAAATAGACTGCTTTAGACAGGTTTTTTCCTTCTCTTTTTGCCTCAAGTAAAATGGATGTAGACAGCTTTGTCAGCGATGGAGTTCAGTGGAATTTCATTTGTGGTGCTCAAGGCATCTAAAAATATCTCAAATTAATCTTTTTTTAATTATTATTGTTAATCCGCAGACCTGGCTGTGGACAGTTTTCATCAGAACTACTTTTGACATAAGAAATAAACTGTATGAAAAGTGTTTTGCGATTACTGGGGTGGAAGCAGACATCAGACCGCAGACATATCAGAGACTGATATCTCCCAACCTGAGCAATTTGCGTGACAGAAAAGAATTTTATAATTTGTGTGAACTGACCCTTTAATGTAAATTGACATCCTTCCAGATATTGCCAGTATTGGTACTGGAACAATCCAGTATATTAGATCTGTGTATCACTAGTCTCTGTGCCTTGCTAATGAGTAGCTGGTAGGACCTCTATGGCTTTTCTCCAATGCACGTTAGCAGTTAAGATCTCTCTTTAGTAGTAGAAGACATTTTGGCATGTTACAGTAGAAAAAGCACAGGTGTAAATAATACAATTAATGATTGCTGAATCCATTTAGCTCTCTTCACTGTCACACTTGAGTAGAAGCCATTGTTATGGCCTTTTACTGTTAGCAGTTACAAATCTCCTCTACCCTCTCCATTAACTCCTTTTTGACACCCACAGTTTATGACACACTCCCTTTACCACATTGATGACAGCATTTCAGCATGACTACAATGACCTATGCTCAATCTGAAAATGACCTCAGATCAGTCCAGAGAACGCTGTTTACGTCTCGCAAGGACGTGACCCATGGTGAGTTTTCAGAGGGCCGGCTGGTGCCAGAGATGTGCTCTGTGGGAAAACGAGCTGGGCTCTGGTCAGGTGCTCGTCTGAGTTAGTCAAGGTCACTTCCTGAAATCCATCCAGCCGTCAATACTGAACCATCCAGGGGTCGATTTGTTCCAATTCCACATCATCCTGGCCAGAGCAGTGCATCAGAGAAATCTGCATCATGTCCATCCTGTATCCTACCTAGAGATGCAGAGAGAGAGAGATGCAATAAAAACAACTATACAATGTAATGCGATCTAACAGCCCTCCACTAAATACTGCCTACTGCTTGGTGGGTGAGACTGATATATACTGTATAAATTCTATTGTATGTGCAGGAGGCATGGGGAAATCAAAATATTTATATATTTATATATACACTTTATAGGATGATGATATACAGCATGAAGACTTTTTCATAGCATACATGGCAGAAAAGTGTAGCCAGTTGAACTGAGTTTAAACTGGAACACCTAAATGCATCAAAGTCAATATTAATGTTATGTCATTAATTGCACCTGTTCTTTTCCTGCTGTAACATGTCAAAATGTCTTCTTTGCAAAATGTCTACAGAACAGCAGAGAAGCGTGTGACCGTCGTTATCTGCACATAAACATTCCTGTCACACTTTAGATGGTGGCGAGCCACTATCTCCACGCATGAGCTTCAGAGTTTGTAATAAAACAAACAAAAAAAACAACAGACATTCTTTGTGTAAATCTCTTTGTGAAAACCAAACACACAAACACACACACACACACACACACACACACACACACACACACACACACACACACACACACACACACACACACCACACATGCCTATAGATCTGCTCAGTGCTGCCAGGGTGAGTGAGGTATTGGCTGTGCCATGACTGATATGATTTATTCATAGCTGGCAGCGGTAACTCAAAAAGCCATTAGGAGGCATTAAAACGGAGACACCTCACATTATTCTTGCATGAATAATATATGTTTAATAGATGCAATGAGGAGTGTGTGTTTGTGTGTTTAGAAAAACTACACAGTGACTGGATGTGACTTTTGTTTTGTAGCTTTAAAAGGACAATTTCTTTTGCCCACATAAAACGAAAACTATGTTTGATTCCAAAATAATAATAATAATAATAAAAAAAACATGTTTAGGCAACAACCTGAAAACAAAGCTCAAGATCAGCAGTGTGAGGGTAAGAAGATAATAAAATAACAATGAAATATCATTGAAGTAATTTGTCTGTTGAAAAAAAAAACACAAGTGCATTGACCTAACTGGCTTCATGCACTCCGACAGATTTGTGTATGTGTGTGTGTGTCAGACATGTTTACTGGTAGCAGTCTGGTCTCATCACTGATGGATTCATTTTCAGTTTCTCAATAATGATCACATAATATAAGGTGTTGATAATGGCCACTTGCATGACTGGGTTTCATATTGTCGGCACCACCATGTCTGTCTGCCTGTGTGTCGATTCAGTATAATGTGTGTGTGTGTGTGCGTGTGTGCGCGCGTGTGTGTGTGCTTGTGTCATTGCTGGCTCCACACTGACGGCTGATGTCTTGGTGTATGAGTCAGACTCAGCCACATTACTCATGTCTGCAGACCTACCTGGCTCCAGCGCTCCCATCCAAGAAAGAAGGAGAGACATGGAAGAAAGAATGGGATGGGTTTGAAACTCCAGAGGGTTCAGTGTTATAGTGTGAAAGATGCTTGTGGGGGTGAAGGAGAGAGAGTAGGGGAGCCGAGAAGAGATGTAACAGGTTTAAGTAAAGGAGAGAAGTCAAACCAGAAGGACTGGCAGGGCAAAAACACTGAGAACCATTTTGGTTTCTCAAAAGCGGAAGTAGGGGAATAGTCTTGCCTCTGCTGCATCAAACTCAAATTAACAAGAGCAGCCCACAGAACAGTCAAAGCATCCTGTTTTTATGCAGTAAAATGTCCAAGCA